ATGGCAATGTGTCAGCATGAGGGTAATTCCAATGATTGTTCCAAAGTGCATGGCGATTCAGAATATCGGCCACTGTTTCCGTAGGCCGGGAATATGTAGGACTGTCAAGATGAGTAGAAAGATGGAAACGATACCAGTCCTTGCAACAAATCGCCAAATTATGTGATGTCTTGTCCACAGGAACAATCGCAAAGGAATCTTGAAGCTGACGCAGAGCCACATGTGCGTGTCGCAGCGCGCGGGGTTGCTGAAAAGGTATTGCAGTAGTCATATTGGACTCACAGTGGCGCAAAACTGTGGCACGCCAAAGATGCAATTGGTGCGCAAGGGTAGCAGCGGAGGATTGTCGTGATGACGGCCGAAGGTATGCAGCGATATACTCATCAATACCAACAGCCAGTGCCTCAAGTACATCCCCTACTGCCCCATTCAGCCGATATTTAGAGCCCTCATAGAATAGACGTCGAAGATTAGCATCCGGAATCAGACCATAGTTGGCGGAAACAACATGGCCGTCAACCAAATCGGTGCAATTAGGAAAGACCCGGCGACATGKACAGTCAGCAGCAGCAGGAAGGCATAGGCCCGGAGTAACACTCAAGGCAACCTCCGTAAAGTTACAAAATTGCACCCTTGTCGGGGGTACAAGTTTATCACAAATGCGAACAGTGCTGGCTGCATGGGGGTCCGGGTGCAGTGCACACACGTCTGGAGAGTGCAACACCTGTCGCAATTTTGTGATGTTCAGAACCTCGTGCATATGGACAATCCTAATATAGTTTCCGAAGCTATCACGGGGCCGAGCAGTATATCGCTGTCGGACATATTGAGATTGTCGAATAAGACATTCAAGTTCACGGATGTCCGCGGTCATCGCAGAATTAGGAACATTTATATACAGCCATTGCAGCAAACGAGCACGGCGGGCAGGCGTAGCCTGCTGAAGAAAAGCAGCAACTTCAGGTCAAGCACCTGCCGCACCTAACGTCAATAAATGCCGCAGCGTGGTTCGCACTGCTAATTGAGGGCCCGGGCTAATATCAATAGTAAAGGCCCGAGAAGATGAAGGATCAGGAGAAGAAACAGCAGAGCAAGAGGAAACGGCAACTTGCCGCCAGTGATCAGGGCGTGGCTGCCGTCGAACAGACGGTAATCGAGACATAGGGAGAACTGCATTAAAACCCGAAGGATGCAGGGTACGAAGCCGTCGAACCCAGAACCCTTCTCGAGGTGAAGCCGCCCGTCGAAAAAGGTCATGATCAATCTCACCATGATTATTAATGTAGAGCACACGATCAATGCGTTCAAGTGGCCAAACAGCAAAATTA